GTTGGGAAAAATAGTAAAAATGGTATTGTAAGTGGCTTGTGGTACAAATATATGTGGGTCCTCTACTCATTTGGGTCAGGTCAAAATGTATTCGGATTTTTTTAGTGAGACGAAGAGGTCAATATATTGTAGGTTCAAAACGGATAATGGTTGAATTGAAAAATTGATTATTAAAGTAGACACATTTGAGTTGGAAAATGAAGGTGGAAAGACTTAAAAAAAGCATTTGTCCACATTTAAAAAAATAGGAGATTTGCACCACTATATATACAAGACTCTTTAATGGGATTTTTAAATTGTATAACATAGAGGTTCTTTCTTGCGCACATATGCAAATCAAATCCTAAAATGATCTTCCCCTAGCTAGGTAGGTTGTTAGTTCCTTATATATATTTAAGGATGGGTGTCACGCAAATGCAAGCCCTCACTGTCTATGGAGTAGGCTCCACGTATAAGGTAGACCTTAGATTGAGTTATTAACAGCCCTTTAAAGGGCAATGTAAGCCAATTACAAGTTCAATTCTCAATTTACTAAGACAATTACAAGTTCTTTATCCTGATAAGAATGGAGGACTACATTTATTTCAATTCTCAATATTCTCAATTTTATTTTCTGTATAACCAATATCGCCTGCATTGAGGCTCGACCCACAACCTCCCCTATAAAGAAGCAATTCGGTGTCATTAGACCACAAGATCCTTAGCGTATAGTTTCGTTTTTCATTCTTTGTTTTCTTTTCTTTTCTTTTTTCAAATATATAAGGTAAACATATTCTTTATTTTTAAAAATCATTAAAAAAAAAAGAAAAAAAAAAGAGAGAATTCTTTCGATTACCTCTGATCTATTATTCTTTTAACATTTGAAAAGGAAGCTAAGAGAGAGAGGGCATAATTTTTGAGAAAAGAGTTGACATGTAAGGCCCAAATAATGATAAAAGAAAGTTTATCAATTGTGAGCCCAATTCGCACTTTTTTTTTTTGAAAGCCCGAAGACATATATTAATGAATGAGAGAAGCTAAACAGTCAAGAGGGACATAGTTCCAATATATAGAGTGTTCCTGATCAAAAGCTATCGTAGTTAAAGTATGAGCATGTAAATTAAGCAATCTAGAAATAACATTCAACGAGCAAAAAGAAAAAAATGGCAATAGTTGCCCGGCATTGGTCTTCCACCACCCCTACATAGGATAGGATAGCCGTAGGACCGGAAAGTAAGTGGCTTCGGAGTTCTGAGCAGTCAGTCAAAAGATCAACATCCAATTCATTACGCTCCCTGAGCCAAGATAAGATTTTTCTTGCAAGCAAGTGCCTCTTCCATAAGGGGTGAAAAACAACCCTCGAGCTTGCCATTTGTTGCTGCTTTGAAAGAGTCATCCGAGTGTAAAAGAACTACACCGTACGTTGCGTCTCCCGAGTGTGCCCGGTAACCTCCATCGAAATAACAAAGTGGACGCCCTTGTGGTGCCGGCGATACCGTAGCAGCACTCAAAGGCGGGTTGTAGCTGTGGCCTCGGCAGTGTGCCGCGGCATAAGCTGCCATCGCAGCAGCCGATCTCCTACACACCCCAGCGGGTCGTGCCAAAGATCCTTTTCAAACGGCATCGTTTCGGGTGCTCCATAGGTAATAAAGGACCGCAACCGTCATGCCAAATTGCTCCTCTGTTAAATTTGCCATAGCACCCATTAGCCATACTGGGAATGAAAGAGCAACAATATGTGTAACATGTAATCCCGAAATATTCCCGATTAGCAATCATTATTGTGTAGCTCATAGTCCACACAAGTTATGTGGATTATATTTTGTATACGGTAAAATAATGTATATTCAGTATAAAAATAATCTATTTTTAATATATTAAAGATGTACGATTGTATTCAAGGATGTACATTATTTTTGTATTGAGTGTACATTATATTGTATAATGTACATTCAATACAAAAATATGTACATTTAATATATTAAAAATGTATTTTTTATTATGGTCCATATAACACTGCGTGGACCATAATTTGCCACCGGCTAGCACTTCACTTGTCCCAAAAGAAGAGCAAACACTTTCACTTCTTTGCTTAAATTAAAATTTTTAAACTCCAATTTTGTTTATACTATCATAGTCAATCCCTATACAGTTAAGTAGCTTCAGGCTTCAGCAAATGAAAATGAAGTGCCGTGTGTCTTCTAATTTCTCCCAAGTCCTAAACTCTCGCGACTTTTAGATTAACGTTAGTCCTCGTGATTGCGAGGATGAGTTGACATGTTTTGTGGGTGATTAAAACACTATTTTAGTGATACAAATATTTTATGATATGAAGCGTTATAATTAATTGAATCTAAAAATATTATGCCATGTTTATAATTTGGGAACATAATTAGCTTATTAGTCCATTTTGATTTATTTGACTATTATTAGCTGTTTGACTTGGTTAAACAATCAATATGAGTGTTTGATTAATTAGCTTTTTGTAACAACTTATTGCTTTAAAATGCTAAAAATTTAAAAAGTTGCTCAAAACAGGTTTTTCGATTAGTTTTTTTAGACAGTTATTTTGTATGTAATCAGCTATAGTTAACAGCTAATTTATCAAACACTTTTCTACAATCAGCTAATGTTATCAACTAGTTAAACCCATTAACTCAATCAGTTAACAGTTATCAACTAACAGGCTAACATCTATTTACCAAACACGCCCTATATGTGTCTATCTATGTTATGTTGTTATTATTATTTTTTTTTTTTGTGTTAATAAAGATATACATTTTATTATGTCGTACAATCTATTTTTATTCGATAATAAAATTTTCCTTCATGCATCTTTGTTAGCTATAATTTGAGCACACATCAGTGAGATAAGTCAACTTTAAAACACTTCTGGGAATTATGAAATTTCCGACCACCTAAAAATTATTTTAAGGTGGTCAGAAATTCCATAATTTCCAGCAGTGAAATAATTGTATGTTAGTTATGATATAAATTATAATACCTATTGTATAAAATTTAATACTAATTTGAAATAAATAAAGTCTTACTCATAATATAGATAGATATATATTGTAATATTAATTTATATGTGAAATTGTGATACTATTTATGATAAAATGATTGTTACTAATGATAAATGTTGTACGTAGTACTTATTATTGAAATTATGATACTTACAAAGTGTAATTCTAATGTAAATATTGTATTTCGTAATAGTTATATGAAAGAAATTATAATATTTATTGTAAAAAATTTAATATCAATTTGAATTCAAAATAATTGGTTACTGTTTTCAAAAAAAATAAATAATAATAATTGGTTACTAATGATAAACATTGTAATACTTATATGTGAAATTGGTATATACTATTTAGAATAAAATTAATGGTTACTACTTATAACTGAAATTGTAATATTTATTACACACTCAATTATCTGCAACTCGACTCTTTTAATGGATAAAAATTCATGAAACGGTCGCACAAAAGTTCCATATTATTTACTTTTTGCTCAATAATCAAGTGCTCATTCATCACGTTCTAGTGGTATATCTCATTAATCTATATTAACATGTAAATCTAAATTAAAGTTACCATGATTTACATCATCTCAAATGCTCTGTCGGGTCGGAGTGTGGGAGCCCTTAGGGGTTAAGGTTCAGCCTTTTTGGAAGAATGTAAATCTAAATTAAAGCCAACATCTATCTGGACACGTACAAGATTCGAAATTCATTTTTCCACCATAGAGATGGACCAAGGTTGAAAATTGCATTTTAATATATGATGTGTTTTCTTGACTTATCAACGACAAAAGTAAAAATAATTTAAAAAAAAAAAAAAAAATCTATACGTTAAGCATCAATATGTGTTGAAAAAATTTCGAGTAAATTTTGACGCCAAACTCTAATTTTTAATTTAATGTATGTATTTATATTTTATTAATGAAGGTTCATTATACACATGAGATGTAGATGAAGTACTGTATGCGAGTCTCTTCTAGGTTAACTAGAGATATTGAATTTGAGCCCGACGAATATGGAGCCGGTTCGCGCTATATATGCAGAATTGCAGATAGAAGTTGGCTTCGACACTATTAGGGTTTTGATGAAGTTTTGTACCTCTACTATTTTTGTCGATTGCATGATTTTTTATATTTCATGATATGGAGTAATTTTTGGTCTAGCAACTTCTGTGCTAGGCAAGGATCGGAGGTCTGTTTCTAGACCCCAGGTTAATGAGTCATGAATCAATTTAATTTCGAGATACAATACTAAATTGTACACTTTTTGTGCACCAAAACTTTAAGATTATGGTATGTAAACAAATTTTAAACCGAATACAAAAATCGATAAGTCCGAACTAATAAATTCAACAACCGATCCACTAGACTAACTCGATTAACATCCTTAATCATAGCTTTAATTGGATCCCTTCTTCTCCCAAAAGGTTGAACCCCAACCCCAATGGCCCACACTCCGGCTCGACAGAGCATTATATTTGAGAGGATGTAAATTACGGTGATTTACTGGTACGCACAAGAGATCTGTCCACTTGAATTTGGGCATAATTCCCACACTACTGCTGCCGAGGTTCGAACATTGGTCTCTTCTTCCAAATATTGTCTATTTTATCAGTGAGTTCAGCTCGCAGGAAAAAAAAAAAAAAAGTTAATTATTGGATCCCTTCCGACATATGAAACAACGTTAATTTCCAAGATGCTGAAAAGGTAGGGTTTTTCATCCATGACAACAAAAGTCAGCAGAGGTGTGCATGATGCCATAATGGGAGCATTAAAAATGTTCTTTGATTTATGAAAAGGATATGACACAAGTATGCAGTGAATTCTTTAATTAGATTAGTCCGTACGAGATAAGAAGATAATATTTGTACCATACAAATTTAAAAAATTTCCATATATATATCAAAGCTGATGACCTGATCATACCACACGCAAGTGCATGCATCATATGATGGTTTACTTGTTAATATAATATATGTACTTGTGAGAATATTCTTGTTAATTAAATTATATTATTTGTCGTCGGTCCAACACACATACATAATTCAGCCAATATAATTCAACACGTACAAGAGACACTTATCCCCTTTGTTAGTCCTTCTAGAGGGGCAAAAATATATGATATGATCAACAATTCTTCCAACAACATAGAATAGTTCTACTTTTGTTCTTCAAATTAAAACTCTAAAAATTGTTTCACTTTTAGCCTGAAATATTAAAATACGTTTAAAAGATAATATCCAAATAACTCATCAATTATTAAATTATTATATCATAATTTTAAAATTAATCATGGGTTATATATATTCACCCAAAGTGATGGGTGTATGTAATAGATGATTAATTAAATTAAGTTTGTAAAGTTGGTAATTATTAGTTATTACATAGTCAATAAATTATTTGAGATATTGATCTGGCGTGATTTATATTTTAAGAATGAGATTCGATTGAGTTAGTCTCATCTCATTAGATGCAAATAAAAGTGTAATATGTATGTAAAGAAAAAAATAATAAGATTTAAAACAAAAGTATATCTACGTGCCTATAAGTGATCAAAAGTATATACGGAGTATAATAATATAAACTTGAAAAATAAAAAAGAGGAGAGAAATTAAAGATAAATTTGATGATTGACTTTTTAAGTATCGTAAGTGTACGATTACCGTACACAACAAAGTCTAACTTTGTTCTACTAAAGACACCTAACCTATTCTGACTAATCTAAGTCTTCTCTCATACTAACGTAGTACCGTTGACCAACTCTTTTTTATTTAATTAATTAATGTGGTAGGTTTCATCAGTTTTTTTAAGTGTTCTTATTGCATATATTAATCTCTTTTTTTTTTTTTTTTTGGGGGTCAATCTTTTAAGTTTATAGTTGTATTAGCAACTCCTTCGTCCTGTTTGGTAAAATAATTAGCTTATCAGTCAATTTTAGTTTATTTGACCACAATTAGTTGTTTGACTTGGTTAAAAAATCAATATAAGTCTATGGTTAATCAGTTTTTTGTAATTTTAAAATTCTAAAATTAAAAAAGGTGCTAAAAACAACTTTTTCATTTAGCTTTTTTAGAAAAGAAATTATACCAAACAACTATCAGCTAACAGTTAATTTATCAAACACTTTTTTACAATCAACTAATGTTATCAACTAGTTATACCTTCTAATCCAAACAGCTAACAACCATTTACTAAACAGGGCCCTTAGGCCTTATCAACCGCCTTAAGTTATTGAGCGAAAAAAATAGATACAAAAATAATAATTTTAAAACTTGATCTTATTAAGAATCTTGTATTTGTCACTCGATTATATAAGGTTGTTCGTAGGGGACAAAGTCAATTAAGTTGGTCGGACAGTTAGTTTGATAATCACAATTTGAGTATTACCGAGGCACATTCGGATAATAATTGCGGACTTTTCTAGTAAATCAAAGATTATTTGTAGAAAAACATATTCAATGAGCGATGTGAAACATAATATCTTATTAGGCTTGAAATTAAGGATTCTAGAAATTAAAGACTATTGTTTGTCAAATTTTATTACACGAAAATAGATTTCCGGCCAAGAAGATAAGAAGGCATACATGCCAACTAACGAAATAGAAAAAAGTCTCAAATTTATCTGATCTGTCGAGTTTGAATTGGAATAATGTAAGCACTTATATCAGCAAAAACTCATTCTATATTAATGCGTTATTCAACACAAAATTTATTTTTTGTCAAAAAAATGAGTTAGTCATGCTATTGACTTGGTAATTATAATGTTACAATGCACATATTAGCCTTCTTGATTTGAGCCGGTCATTATAGACAACCTAGGTTAGTTTAATTCCTTGTGGTCCTTTGTCGGCTGGGGTCACATGATAGGGTTTGCCTATTGCACACCCTTGAATAGTAGTTGTAGGTTTCTCCTGTCACAAAAATTTAAAAAAAAATCATTCTATTCATGTATTATTCAACATAAAATTTAATTTTTATAAAAAAAAGAGTTTTTTTTTTTTTTTTAAATATAAGTTGAATATAATATATATAAATAATCCAACTGTCAATTTAATTAGTCTTTTAATTGAAACGAATATATGTTTCAATTTTGTATAAAAAAGACGGCAAATTATACCGTGGACCATGATCTACATAGCAAGTTGGACCATTGATAAATGTTGATTTTTAATATACTGAAAGTTTATTTTTAGGTAATATACTACAATGAACTTTATTAAAAATTAACTTTCAGTATACTACAAATGAACTTTCAAAAAATAAACATGTAGTTCACTAAAATGAACATTCAATATATTAACGATGAACATGTATACCACTGGTTCACCTTGCAATGTTGACCATATAGTTCATGGTATAATGATTACAAAAAAACTATGTTCACATGTTCCTTACAGCAACATTGTCAGTTGGGTGTGTGGGTGTCAAATAGATAAAAGTGAATAAGAAAATGTTAAAAAAAAAAAAAAAAAAAAACTCATGGGTCACCAACTGGCAAGCACTTTGACGCGCTCGCTAGCCGTGCGAGGTTCTTTTACGGGCAATTTTTTTGAACCTTAAAAACCGTGGAAAACTCTGATTAGTTGAAGAACTAATTTTTACTCTTTTTCCTTTCCCATTTATTGAAGCAAAAACTCAAGAAAAATATGGGGCATCAGTAAGTTGTTGGCTTGCTAACCTTGAGGTTGCAAGTTTGACTCTCAATAGGAGCCGCTTATTAACTTTTTTAATTTAAGCCTGTCAACTATAAATAAACTAGGTTGATCTACCTACTTGTGACATGCCTATTATCTAATGCATATCTTTGAGTTGTGTTTATCTGTTAGGTTTACAAAGTGAAATTATCTAATGCATACCCCTTATAAGTTTATATTATCACTGGAACAATTCAAGAAAAATCTCTTGTTGGGGTGCTAACAGAACCATCAATAACACATTCTTCAATCATATAAAATAATGTCATTAATCGAGCAGCCATGTAATGATGCTCTTTTATATTTAAAGACTAATTTTTTTTTAAAAAAAAATCAATTTGCAAGTTTGCAACGGCAGAAAGTACAGCTGGATTGTTATTAAAAAAATCCTTAATTTAGTAGTGTGTTACTGAGCTTATAATAATCTTAAATATTATTCTGACTAGGACTAGGTTGTTGTTAATTGTTCACACTCAGCAACCAACCACCTAGTAAAACCAGAAAGTAAGAATCTTCTAGAAGCCAGATAGTTCCAGGTAATTTCTGCGGAAGTGTCTAAAGCGGGCTCGCCACTCGCGACTCGAAATCATGATCCGATGGAGCTGAATATTCGCCTGGCTAAGTATGCTCACGCTTACGTGTACATGACGCCTGACCCCACATCTTCTCTTTCTTTACTTTTCGTACTAGCATCTGGAATTAGATAAATTAATTTAAGTTTGTTTGGAAATTTGGAAATCATTTTTAAAATTTTTAGGGTTTAGAAAAAAGAAAATATTAAAGTCAATAGAAATTAATTTTCGATTAAAAGAAAATCAGGTTATTTTTTTTTTTTTTTTTGAGGAAAAGTCATTTTTTATCACATTTTTCTTCATCCCCGGACGAATTTGCATTAATGGTTTCTGTTGGAAATCATAAAAAACTGATTTTTGATAGAAACCAGATTAACTACGACGGTTTGGCAGTTTTTCTTGCTCAAGATGTTGGTGGCATGATCACTCGTAGAATTTAGAGATGGTAACAGAGCGGGGTGAGGGCGGGGACTATACTCCACGTCCCCGTCCCCGAAACCCCGACGGCGAATTGAAACAGTCTCCATCCCCGTCCCCGCGGAGAATTTGGCAGGGACAGAGATTTCCCGTCCCCGATTAATTTTTAGTCAAAAATTTTAAATTAGTGTAATTTTTTAATTTTAAAAACTAAAAACTTAGATATTAATTTAAAACATTAATATATATAACTTATTTATTTATTTATTTTAATTATAATAATTATTCGGGGACGGGGCGGGGGCGAGGAAGAGTATCTCGTCCCCGTCCCCGATCCCTGAATTTTTTCTCGTCTCCGTCTCCATCCCCGACCGAGACGGAGCACATTATCATCCCTAATAAAATTAAAATTATATATATATATACATACATCCACTCCAAAAATCCATTCTCCAATAATTAAATGTTAATCATGACTTAGTAGTAAATCACAACAATAATACTACTTAACACAATAACACATAATGATGTCATTTCTTCACCAACTGCACCATGTATGTATCTTACTTGTTTGTCAAGAAACGTGCCCAGTTTCGTCATGGAAATAAATGGCTATATATACTATACAAAGTCAAATAAATTGCATGGACCAACTAATAGTCACAATAATAATAAACTCACTCCATCTATAAATATTCAACTCCCTCAACTCCCACCATTCCATTATTACTCCATTCTTTCATTATTCCCTAATTAGCTTCTCATTTCCGATCGCAAAGTACTCTAAACCGGAAACCATGGTGAATCTGAATCTGCCTATGAAGAGAGGAAGAGAGTTGGATAGCATCACGGCGGCCATGGCGGATTGCTTGATGTTGCTCTCCCGGCAGCACGCGACGGCGGGGGATTTCTCGTCTGCAATGATGGCGGCGGCGGCGGCGCCAGCTGCTTCCGCCGGAGGTCGTGTTTTCGAGTGCAAGACGTGTAACCGGCAGTTCCCGTCGTTCCAGGCGCTCGGCGGCCACCGTGCCAGCCACAAACGGCCGCGGCTGATGGGGGACTTGAGCTTGCAGCTGCCGCCGGCGTCCCCGCCCAAACCCAAAACCCACGAGTGCTCCATTTGTGGTGTGGAGTTTGCCCTAGGACAGGCTCTTGGCGGCCACATGAGACGGCACAGATCTGTTATGAATAATAATGACAGCCATTCTTCCGGCCACGGTGACGCTTCGGCGGCGGAGAAGTCGGCGGAGAGCGGCGGCCGGAGGGCTCTGTCGTTGGATTTGAACTTGACGCCGTTGGAAAATGACTTAGAGTTCAAGTTTGGGAAGGTGGCCGCTCATCATCATGTGCTTGACTGCTTCTTGTAGTGATTCATCAATTGCAATTCTAGATTTCTTGGCTTTTTTTGATATTTTTTTTTATATTTAATTTGTTTATGGGGGATAGATATATAGGAATGGATATATATATATATATATATATATATATATATATATATATATATATATATATATATATATATATATATATATATATATGTGTGATTGTAAGTCCATAAGTGTTCTTCTATTTTTATATTTTTTGGGTTAATTATGGATGTAAATTTTACAAGCTACTGAAGCTATTAGTTGAATGATGAATATAATGGATATATTGTATTAGTGTAATTATATATACATATAACAATTATTACTCGGAATATTGTTATGATAGAGGTTATGTAATGCTGTAATTTAAAAATAACAAGTAAATGATATGATAATAATATTTCATTAGACCAAATTGGGTAAATACCTGATTTGGTCCATCAACTATTAGGATTTCATCACTTTGATCATCGATTTTTAAATTTACTCAATTTTATTCTCAATTATGCAACTGTTAATCAAAACAGACAAAGAACTAATTTATGTAAAAATTTCATAGTTGAGGATGAAATTGAGCAAGTTTGGAAGTGGATAACTAAAGTGGTGAAATCTGGCCTAATAGTCAAGAAACCAAATTGGATAGAGTTAATTCCCAAAATGGTCCTCCGATTATATGGTCTTTTCTCAAATTGGTTCATTGACTTTTAATTACACCCAAAGTAGTGGTCATCCGACTATTGAATTTTAAGTCAAAATGGTCGGCCGTTAATTTTGGTGTTCAGTGGTTGTTAAAATAAGGGGTAAAATTGGTAATTTAAAATTTTTACTATAGTCAAAGGAATACTTTGGTGCTATTAAAAGTCAAAGGACCAATTTGATAAAAGGCTATAGTCGGTAGACCATTTTAGGAATTTTCTTTTTATAGTTCAAACATAATTTGTACTCATTTTGATTAAAAAGGGTTGATCTCGTACTTATTTTCATTTTCTAAATAAACAATCTTTTTACTTTAATTGTTAGCTAGAAAATTATTATTTTTTAAATAATTTAGAATAATTATTTTTATTATTAGTGAGTATTTATATATAGTTGTACAAACTAATATTAACTTTAGATTAACTCTTTATTATTCAAAAATGCTTGACATTATATATATGTATTTGGATTTTGATTTTCTATAATCATAAATACGCATACATATAATGACAAAACTTGTACTATTGTGAAAAATTACAACCAAATGGACAACAGACATAAATCATTGCTTATTTTTTTTTTTTTTTTAAAGACAATAGTAGTTAAATACAAACGAATAAGAAAGATAACAAAAAAAAAAAATCATTGTCTATTACAAAAATACAATATTGGTTTATAGGGGCATAACAAAAAATGTTGGTCAGTGGAGGCAAAAAATAAAAAATAAAAAATAAAAACTTCAAAACGTGATAAAAGAATATTTATAATAAAATATGAAATTGTTGGAATAAATTGTATATCATCACTATTAATATTATATTCATAAATATTTTTTAATTTAATTAGATCAACTCTAAGTATTTTATATTAATTTAAATACGATAATACACAATTGAAACTTTTAGATTATATTACTAGATACTTCATAAACATGAATTTTTCTTTTAAAATATTAACTAGATAGTTCGAATTGGTTATTTGACTTTTAATTGCACCAAAAGTAGTGTTTGACTATAGTGAAAATCCTAAATTACCAGTTTTACCCCTCATTTTAACACCAAAACTAACGGAGGATCATTTTAGCTTAAAATCCAATAGTCAGAGGATCACTTTAGGTATAATTAAAAGTCAAGAAACCAATTTGAGAAAAGACCATAGTTGGAGGACATTTTAAGAATTAACTTAATTGGATATTAACTCGACCAAATTAAAAGATGGGTAAACAATCCAATTCATAAAGTTAATATGATCTAAATAATTTTGGAATAGAAAATATGTTAGTCAAACCAACTAAACCATTATAGAATGCTTTATATAATAAAGCTATATGGTTTGGGAAATAATTAATGTTACAATTAATGTCACAACATCCTTTATTATATAAAAAAAAAAACACAACATTTGAAAAATAAAATAGCTATATATTATATAATCATATAAAAAATATGTCCAATTAGAGTTTAAATTTACACATACAAAATTTGAAATTTGCTTTCCAAATGTAATTATCTTAGTTATTATTTGTATTGTAAAAATTATAATATAGATGAAATACAATTAAGAATAAATCAATGTAATTATGTAACTTATCTCTATAAGTTTATTTGAATATGCACATAATTAGAGATTATATTAACCATACAAAATTATAATTTTAATTTTAATTGTAATTTTGTATTCTATAAAAATAATAAATATTTGACCAATGGAAGCTAAAAAATATTATTACATTAAATAATTTAAAATATTTTAATTTTTCTATTTTTTATTTATATTTATAATAACATAATTTTTTTCCGTGCATCGCGCGAGTGAATTACTAGTAAGTAATTAAAGTCATAAATATAATCCAAATTACATGCACTACATACCCCCATTGTATTATACTATTATTCCACACGTATTACATCATCAAGGTGCTTTCAATCAAAAAAAAAAAAAAAAAAAAAAAAAACATCATCAAGGTTCATAATTGAAAAAGAGTTAATATCCAATTTAGTCATTGATTATAGTAATTTTTCTTGATTTAATCTTAAACAACTTTTTGTGTTTAAATAGGTTAAGTCCACCAAGACTATGTGGTTTAATGGTACCCAGGTTGGACTTCCATTTGGAAGGTTACGAGTTCAAGCCTCAGTGGAGGCGTTATTGGTTCTTTGTGATTTTTTTGTAAAAGGTCTAGGGATCAAACCCTGCTAGCTACATTTGTAACCTCTTATATTAATAAGAAAATTTACCTATAAATATTTTTATCGCATTTCGACGGTTTTTTTTTTTTCACCTTCACTGACTGGAATTTTTAGCTCCGCCCCTGCATATACCGTATATAATATTAATGTAATTTTTCATAACCAAATTTTAAATACAATACATGAGTACAAAAATACCAATTTCAAATAACTTTAAATAAAATTCAAACATTTTCAACAATTTACAAATACAAAATTAATTATGTAAGAAAACTTCTACATGCTTTCCTAGAGACGAACTCATCACTAACCGCATCAAGATTAATATTGTATAGCATATCCTTCTTAACACACAAGATCATCACCAAATCATTTAAGCTTTATTAAGCTATAGAATAATAATTAATAAAATTGTCACATGTTTATTAATAACAAATAAAATTTTATTGGACTATAGAATCAAACTTCAGTTTCACTCTAAAGAATAAAGAATTGAAGAAATTGTAATATTCTCTCAAATTGTAAAGACTTATAGCATTCTTGAGAATTTTTAACTTTTTTTTATAATATAATATTATATATAATTGTATACACAAATAATATAATAGCCCCTCAAACATGTGCCCTGTGCAGGGGCTCAATAGTCAATATGTTCTTTTTTAAGGTCCAGCCTAGGAGAGAAAGAATATTGTTAAAAATCAAACACGTAATCTGATCTTCAAGTTTTAAAATTATGCTTTATCCATCTAATAATTATAAATTGAGAATAGAAAATAAGAATACATATATTATATTCCTTTTTGAGGCGTGACACAATTTTGATTGTATTAATGATTTATTTGTATTTTGGTGCATTCGCAAGTTATTAATTGGTAGGTGCGGCGTGCAAAGTTCATTGGTTATCATGCCCCCCTTGATTGCGCCCCATATATAAGGTGGCATTGATACATAGTTTTAGAGTACTTATTAAGCCATGTGTGGAAATAAAATTAAATGAAGCAGCTCATTATATCATTGTTCCCAAAAGATTGAATCTCTCATCTTAAAGGTTCTCTATGCTCCGCCCCGTTTTAATAGAACATTTGGAAGGATGTAAAACTTTTGAGAGGTTGCTCCCACAGTGTCGTCTCATTTGTCTTTGCTTACTGCGCACAAGGAGTCCCTCTCACTTGGCACTTTGAGAGATTGCTCCCGCACTGGCGTTGGAGCCCCTTCACGTGGCACTTTGAGAGGTTGATAAGAAGTTTCTCCCACACTGTGGCTTGTGAGACTCGATCTCGTTTTCAAATTTACCTCTGTGACCAACTAAGCTGCTCATCCGAGCATTATATCATATGTACAGAAAAAGAGTACATGATGCTATATTTTTCTTTTAGTATAGATTTTTATATGTGATGATATTTAATTGATTATTTTGACTATTTAATTAATAAATAATTTTTAATGAATTCAGTCCGAATGAATATAACGAACTTTATTTATTATTGGGAAGGTAAATCAAAGGGAATTCTCTACCAAAAAAAAAAATTAAAAAAAAAAATCAAAGGGAATTAGGGTCCGTTTGGAAAGCAGGAAAATGACTTCTGGAAAATGATTTCTGGAAAATGAGTCATTTTCTGGAAAACATTTTCCGTTTCCAGTGTTTGGTTACATTTGGAAAACTGTTTTGGTGTGTTTGGTACATTTTCTGGAAAATGAATAAAATGGTATTATTAAATATTTTAATTATTTTATTTTAAATTAAAAATTCATTTTAAATCTTAAAAAAAAAATAAAAAAAATAAAAAAATTTTGATTTCCGGCGGAACTGGGTTCCGCCGGAAACCATGGCTATGGTTTCCGCCGGAAACCATAGCTCTGGTTTCCCGATTTAAAAAAAAAAAAAAATTGAAAGAGAAAGGCGGAAAACGACTTCCGCCCAAATTTGGCGGAAGTCATTTTCCGTCAAATTGGGCTTATTTTCCCTAGTCAACGGAAAATGGATTCCGTTGACTGGATTTTCCAGGTGTAGCCAAACACCAAAAATTTGAAAAATGACTTTCAGAAGTCATTTTCCAGGTTTCCAAACACAGCCTAAAGGAAAATAACAATTTTCTTCTCCCCAAGTAACATTTTTCTATACTGATAGGATATGGATAAGATTGCAGTGGTTTGTTTAACCATGTCTTGCTTTTAATTTATTGGAATTGGAGGAAGAAGGGGAAAATAATAAAAATTATAACTCACAATTTTATTTTATATTTTGTGTGGGTTACAAATAAAAAAGACCTATGCATTAGTAAGGAATACTAAATAACATGACTGAGTTTGATTATTGCTAACATCTTTTTGGTAGGATTTGTTGGACAAGATTTTCCTATTGTCATTTACTTCTTTTGTGTTGTTTGCTGACTATTACATATGAGCGCCTTAATCATTTTTTTGTCATTCAAGTACGTCATATAGGATTTTCCTAGTGCAGTTTACCTATCTTGTGTGATTTGCAGACTATTACACATAAGCAAAGTTTAGTAGTGCACATCCTTAGCTAATGATTGCGCATTTTCATCATCACTCGAAAAATGGAATAAAAAATAAAAAATACATGTATTAAAGATCAAAGACATAAAGATCAAGAATAACACACAAATTTATGTGATTTAGCCGTGTGTCTACGTCTAATTAAGCGAAACAGTTCGATTATTGTAATGACAATATGTCTCTAGAGTTACAATATCAATATTTATATGTAACCTTATAAGAGACATTTACAATATTTTTCTAGTGTTGTAAGCGCTCTCGATATATATATATATATATATATATATATATATATATATATATATACACACACACACATCCACCTTATCCCATGGAATTCAGCAAGTCCATGCCTAGCTGGAAGGTTGTTGAGTAATCTTAGGATTTGGGAATAGTGAATTTACTCTTTGGATGTAATTCAGCAAGTCCATGCCTAGCTAGAAGATGTTGAGTAATCTTAGGATTTGGGAATTGAATAATGAATTTACTCTTTGTGTGGATGTATCGATAGATTTTGGAACTATATACATTGAATTAGAAAAATATTATAATATTGTACATAAAATATTATATTTTAAAGATAAAAAATGATATATATATTTAGTTATTTGTACAACTTATATAAAATTATTAATAAATTATAGTTAAGATTGGTTTAGAACTACCTAGTAGCTTAGTCCTATAAAGAACATACTGACTAATTTCATCCGTGGCTAAAAATTAAAAAAATGATGTTATGACAGTTGTGTAATATTATATTACATTTGAAAATACTTGATAATGCATCTTTAAACAATTGACAGTATACTCAAGATCTATAATAGTGCACTATTACTTATATGTGTATGCATTATCAAGCGTTTCTAAACGTAATATATATATATATATATATATATATATATATATATATAATTGAAGCAAATAGTGATTAGAAATTTAGATTTTAGAGATGCTTAAAAATATTAGAATTAATTATAATAAAGTGACAATGATCTATAATAGCGACAAAAGATCTTCTAAATTTTTGAAGTGATTGAAAATGTCATATCCCACCAGATTTTCAATCACTTTTTGATAATCGAAAATCTTGAGTTTAGCTGTGTTGATTTTTTAAGAAGGGCATTGTTTAGTTTTGAAAATACTTTAAATAAATTACAGGAAAATTATGTTCTGAAGACATAACAGGATAATTATTATAATTGTTATTTTAATTTTAAACACCCCCTCCCATACCCCAAAGGGGATTCAACCTTTTGGGAGAAGAAAAAAATCCCTTTGTAATTAAAATAATATGTATTATTACTTCATATATTATTATATGAAGCATTGTAATCTGTGTAATCTCTACTTGAGAATTTTCTTCATAAATTCACACTAAAATCAAGGTTATATGATCGCGTAGGCACAATATTTATCCAAAACTTCTTTACACTATCGAGTTTTGAATCAAGAGAAAGTTAGGAGTTTAATTTTTCCAAAAATATATCATAAAATTGAATCATTGAATGGAATAATTGATTTTTTTTTTTTGGACTGATTAACTATGCCAATCTATGTTGATTTATCTTATTGTGGTCATTTACCTGCAAGGTTATACTGTGTGCTTCATCCATAACACACATTTGAATAGTGACTACGAGTTTTTTTGTAAATCAAAACGTATTTTACAGAAGATAATCGTAAATTAATCCGAGTGTGATACAAGTGATACAATAACAATTTGCTATGAAAATTAAACAAGGAGATTGATGTTTTCGCTACTCACTAATTTTCACATGGCACCGGGCTTAGGATCTTGATAGATGACCCACAAATATCTAAAATACGATATGAAAAGATTAATGCGACACAAAATTTTCAAGAAGAATCCCCGTCTATTAGAGCGGACCCCTCATTCTTAATTATAAGAAAAACAAAAAAAATTGCTGTGAACTTGAGAGTACTACATCATTTCCATCTAAGAAGCTAAAGAGACACTTTACTTCCAATGCGACACCTGTCGGATATTGGGTACATAGAATGTATCAAAAGCTAAAAGCCGTTACGGAATAAACGGTCTAGATCATCTCAAAATCCTGTGGGTCAACAATCAAAGGGAGCACACTGAAACTCCTACACCGCAGCGTAGAGGATCCGCCATCATGGTTAAAACCCCCTGAGCTTTCTCACTTTCAGAGCACAAGCACAGAGTGTTCATGTCAGAGAGCCCGCTGTGTGGCATCTTCACGTCTGTTAATTTGTTAACGGAAACATCATTCTTACTCGAGGCTTCGAACGGAAATTCTCCCCGGCGTTTGCTTTCCGGCGAGTCGTCGTCGAAGGTATAAGCTCTTGTGAAGCTCTCGTTGTTGTCGATTCACTAGCTATGAGCTCTGCTTTACTGTTATCCACACTTCGATGATTCAATGCATGCCATTTCTGTATCTATATACTAGTCTTTGCAGCTTTTTGTTGATCTCCTGATTGTTTATGGAAAATTGAGTTTTCAAGTTCCGATTCTCTTACAGTCAATTTTTGTTTGAATCATGCTTTGACTGCTTGTGAAAAGTAATTATCCGTTGAGAGACTAGGTTTGTGTCTATAGCAAACCGGGGCAGCTGAGTAGCTCATGCTTTGTGAATTGGGGTGAAAACTGTAGTGGAGATGGTATGAATTTTCATACTTAATCTAGTTAAACTCAGGCGAATTCCTTTGCATTATACACAACTGATTTGTTCAAATCGTTTTTATTTTTTTAATTTTTATAAATCTAGTTTTAAATTTAGTTTTGGGAAGATTTTTATTCATTTAATGATGATCTACTCCTGGATCCTACTCACATCCAATGTACTAGCTGTGGGTTGATTTTTTTGGAGTTCCTATCATAAAATTAAATATTGGTTGTGCAATGCTTTTAACTTGGTTTCGAAAGGGGTTTTCTGTCTACAAACACACTGCAGGAGTGCAGGTTGTTAATGCATTGCTGTCTTTTCAATTACTTTTTAGTGTTTCTCTTTTTATACCTTTAGTTTTAAGTAAATCACTAAATTGTACATACACTATTACACTTTTATTTGATTGGGATACTTCGATCATTGGCAGGGGCCACTCAGTGACTTTTGGGCTTCTTTCTTTATTGTTCAACAATCTTCTTTTTTCTGAATTTTCATTCATCTGGTAGTGTTGCACAGGCCCACACATCATTAAAGGCTTCTTCCACTTGTGAGGTTTGAAGGTACCAAAGTTGAAAAATAAATCCCTTCAATGAGTAAATGTGCATGTGCACAAATGTTGATAGGAAGCTACAAAACAGAACCCTAACATGCTATCCATGCTATATACGTATTTATGCTTGTTATAATACTTTAGATATTTTAGAATTTAATGCTACTCGCCAGCGGCAAAACCACAGTGTCCATAATGTTACCAAGTTGTTAATTTAGACGTTTTATTGCCAGCAGTTCTCTATAGCAATGATATTCTGTTTTACCTCATAAAATGTTAGATTTGTTTCCCTTCTTACTAATGAGTACAGTAGATTATAACGTATTGAAATCCGTTGGAAAATTGACTCAAATCACTCATGCTTTTTCTGTTACAAGTTTTAATGGGTATTTTGTAGTCCTTTCAGAACGGGGGCATTTGGGTGTCAATGGATAGCGGTGGGAATCTTACTGATAAAGGAATACATTGTCAGACTTTGTCAAGTGTGGAACAGAAGCTTGCTCATCAATGGTTTATGGATGCTTCTAGACCAGAACTATTATCGAACAAGAATCAAGCAATACATTCTGCTTACAGCAGACCCATTCCGGTAGCTGCTCACATGAACTTAACCCGCTGGGATAATGGTTCTGGTTATGAATCTGCCTCTGGACAGTTTACTGACCGTATATGTGGCCCTGAGATTTTTAGTCTTGTTGAGAAAAATATCTCATCTTTAGGTGATGGAAACTTGAATAAGAGAAAAAGGGAGTTCGATAATCATTTTCGAAATGATTCAATAGTTAGTTTGCCTATGTCTAAAGATCCCAATTATTGGAATGCTGGAGGTAGTGGAGTTCGAGAAGGTCTAATCCATGGAGTTGAGAGCAGTTTTCCCATTTCTAGGGCACAGTCATGGTATCATAACTTAATTAGTCCAGTACGTACCAATTATGATATCAGGGCATTCTGTTTTACTTCCGGTGATCACATTCCTCGAAAGTTGGATGTTTCTGTTGCATCAAGAGGAATCACCAACCACGAAGAGAATAACCTCCAACAATTGGGTCGGGGTTCTGAAAATGGCGAGGGAGCAGCAACATCTGGTATGGGCTTTCAGAACAGGCCAGAGGGTACTAATCGTTCTCGCTATCTCATACCCAACCGTGATTTGTTATTAAGTCCATCTTTACCAGATGGTTCAGAGGTACTGACAGAGAAAAGTACCAAAGAACGTTCTGCTTATCAAACAAATACCATTACAGTGGATAATGTGCCTAAGCAGGTGGAAAAAGAAGCCAAGAAGAATTCTTCAAATAACTTCCCTTCCAATGTCAAAAGCCTGATGTCCACAAGTATCTTAGACGGTGTGCCTGTGAAGTATGTTTCATGGTCAAGGGAGGTGAGTTTGGATCTTACTGCTCAACAATGATTACCCGAATTTTCAATTCTTTAACACGATTATATACTTATATTTGTGCACACAGAAAAATCTCCGAGGAATCATTAAAGGGACCGGTTACCTCTGTGGTTGTGATGATTGCAAAATGAACAAGGTGACTGATTCTATTTAATTCTGTAGATTTATGCTACAGAGTACTTATTATGCTTTTTGTGCAGAATGTGAATGCTTTCGAATTTGAGCGCCATGCTGGTTGCAAGACAAAGCACCCTAATAATCATATTTACTTTGTGAGTGGGAAGACGATTTATTCAGTGGTGCAAGAACTGAAGGGAACCCAACAAGAAGCGCTGTTTGAAGCAATTAAAAATGTCACCGGATCACCCATCAATGTAAAGAACTACCGTGTTTGGAAAGGTAAGTTGCCTTCACTGTAAAGTATCGAATTCATTCTATACATCTTTGTTCCTGGCTGAAGTATTCTTTTTTCTGGTTTCAATGTCAGCATCATACCAAGCTGCTACACGTGAGCTTCAGCGAATTTATGGAGAGGAAAGATATGCTGACTTCTCAACTCATTGATACCTGGGTTCCATTCATACTTGAACCGAGCATTCTATGTTGCATATTTGGAGGAATTTAGGGAGTTATTATGAGCTGATTTGATGTCTCGCCAATTGCTATGTTGGAGCAGCCTTTCAGTTCATAGCTTGTGTTTGAGATTTATGATTTTCTGGTGTTGTTGAATCATTGTATATATTTTGATTTTAAACAAACAATTGAGTTATTCTAGATTTATGATTTGTGATTTCTGGGTGGATTACTCATTTTGTGGCATTTATTACACCTTCAGTTCAGTTTATTCGCTCTTAATTGATTTTTTTGGGGGCAAAAATGCTAAGATAGAAATGGTGCATTGCATTAGACCTCAAAAATGAAGTAGAACTTATTTGGATATTTTGTTCTACTTTCCACACCACACACATATTTCTTGCTCTAATCTGCAGTAAACTAAACTGATTCTTCTCCGGGAACTTCTATCGGAGTTGCAGAGTGCTGTTCTTGATGAGTTGTTGCAGGCCTAATCACGGGGAGTTGCTGATCAACCGGAGCATCGAGATCATCGCCACTTGATTTGGATGAATCATCCTTGCTCGAACCCCAAATGACCAGGTACAGCCCGACTACAATGACACATGCTCCCAAAACCCTGCATTATGATCGAGAAACTTTATATTACTAACTTCATAATATTATGTGCATGATAGAAAGTTGTGGTCATAATGATGCTGAAATATCATACTTTCCAAAGTCCAGTTGCTCAGCCAAGATGAACGACCCCATAATTGCCACAATAATCATGCTTAGAGGATTAAATGCGGTAACAAATACTGGTCCCTTGTCCTTCATGACTACTCCCGATATGTAGTAAGCCACTCCCGAACAGATGACACCCTGCATTATTAATTCAAAATTTGTTAATATTAGAGTTGTTTATATATACTTCTTGTTTATCTTTGAAGTAGCGTTTCTTACACTGTAAATATAGGCCAAGAGTGTGGTATCCCAGTGCACAGCCCAGATTGCAGCGTTTCCCCTCTCGACCACCAAGGTCAATACAGAACCTTGCAATGCCCCCATCCCGCATAACAGGGAAGTAAGGGAGAGCCCAGCAGGATATGATTTCAACGTAATCGCCTGTAAAACCAATCATCAGATCACATCGTACATTAATTTTTGTATGTTTTGTAATCGTGATTTAATTTACTGTTTGTGATATTATTTACCTGAAGGATGTAGAAGCTAGCCCAGCAGCAGCAACCTGCAGCGATCATGGCGGCCCCCTTAACGGGATCCTGCTGACTATTACCAGCACTTGCAGATTGGTCATGGCTTGCCTCTTTGGTCCAAGGTAATCCTATAACACCTCCTCTCACAAGAGTCATAATCATTGCACCTCCAATTGTCACTGATGTTCCCAAAATCTTTGCCTGGCTATGTAGTTTCCTAACATTCACTTGCTCAAGCCTGCACCAAATATAACCGTTAAGAGTCCCACATTGAAAAAATAAGAGAGAATATATGAGTTTATAAGGTTATGAGTTAGATTTTTTAGTATGGTTTGACCCATGTGTATTATAGTCCAATTGAATCTTCATCTTTTCTTAGTAAGGAGGGATAACCCTGGTTTGACAATTTTTATTTTTTTAAATCTTAAGCGGAATTTTTCTCAAATTAAAAAGTTGTAAATAATGAGACCTGAGGATCCAAGCTAATATGAAAGTGATGGCAGGTAGAACGTTGCCCAGTGCTGTTGTAAAAGTGGCGGTTGTGTACTTCATTCCCGTATAGTACAGGTTTTGGTCGATGACTGGCCTGTTCACAATAATTTAATTTGTCCATTAGAGATTTAGAGATATATAATTAAATAAACAAATTATTATTATTATTATTATATTAAAAAAGAAATATTTCAGGAAAATTATAAAGTATCTAACTACCCGTTGCATCAAGCATGTATTATGTTATACTCATGGGCTTCTAAATTTTTAAACGCTATATTTTCAACATGTTGAGGTTATATGTAAGCGATTGAAGATGTACCATTGTATTCAGGGGCGGATTCAGAGCGGGGTAAAGGGGCAGTGGGCCCCCTTCCCCCACCCCACCTCAGCTCCTTATATGTGTGTGTGTCTGTGTGTATATATATATATATATATATATATATATATATATATAGATGTTTTAATAGTATAGATGTTATAATAGAAGTCAATAATATATTTTTATATAGAGAAATTGTCAATTGTTAAGTAGCTTGGTTGGTGTAAATATTTTGTTATTTTAAGAAGTCAAGGGATCAAAACTTGTTACTACGCTTTGATTGTTATTTTTTTTTTCATTTTTTATATTAATTGTTAAATTTATAATGTGTTATATGTGATAACAATTATTTAAATTGATGAATTAATTGATACGAAATATGTTTTGTAATTCAATTATGAAAAACGTTTTTTAAGAAAATATACTTTTTTATGAACTATATCTAGTCAATGTAATTTAGAAATTTTAATTGTGCATCATTATATTCAAATTAATCTAGAAGTAAAAAGAGTTAATCTAATCAAAATAAAAATATTTATGAATATTATATTATATAAATTTAGATTATTATATGTAATTTATTTCAACCATTTTGCATTTTATCATAAATATTTTTATGAGGCTTTGAAATTTTTTAAGTTTTCACCCCTACTTTCTATTTTTAAAAGTATAACATTTTTAAGCAGTAGAAATTTCCTAGTATGTTAGAGTTCAAAAAATGGAGTAATAAATAAATAATTAAAGATAAAAACATACTCCAACAGTCCAAGAAGCATTATCTTCCAGAACACAGAAAATGTCATCTTCGGCCTTATTTTCCTGCATGATAAAGCCTCATCATTAGCTTCCACCTTATTTTCTGTAAATTCTACTACGTTTGTGCATTGTTGCATGTATGTATATGTGCATATATACATACGTGAATATATACATGCAGACAAATATATATATTTATATATATACCTCTCGAAGAAAAAGGCAAAAGGAGCAAAGATGACGGTGGCAGTGAGATTCCGGTAAACGGCGAAAGTGTAATGGTTCATGCCATTGTTGAGAGCAGCTTTGGCAATGACGGCCATGCCAGCATAGCCAAACTGCAAGAAGATGACTGCAAAATACGGCTTTGATTGTGCCAAGATTTTCCCCGTCGACATGCTCGCTAGCTGGTAATAATCTTCTTTCTATGCTTATGTAGTTTAGTACTCGTACGTGTGTGTATATATATATATCGAAGCTAAGGTTGCTGGAAATGGATGTTGTGATGAGTGTGTGTTTAGCTCTCTATCATGCTAGCCTTTATATATAGGTGTTTCTGTACGTTTCCATGTGATGATGAGTGCTTCACTTTTATTAAGATAGTTTTCTTGCATCTTTAATTTACCACTTAATTAGACTTTTAAAAGGAACAGTAAAGAGTGTACACCTACTATACAGTATGACTCGTGATGAAATGAATTCACCCTTTTCCATGATGTGGTCCATTAAAAGCTAGAGATCAAATGATCAGATCTGGTCTATTATCAACTATGTCACTGTGCACTTCATTAATGGAACAAATCTGTTCACATGGACTCAGGTGACGGGGTGGACTTACTTGAATAGTGGTATATATATATATATATATATATATATATATATATATATAGTCGAGTTCAGGTGCTGCTATGCCTATACAAAATATACACCATCTATGTTAGGAAATGCACAACAAAAAACATGCACAAATTAGGTACGCATAACTCAAAACGCACCATTAAGTATGAATAAAAGCACCATACAGTGTTCAGAAATACACCATTAGGGTGTGGAGTTATATGGTGCATTTTTTTTGGGTGTGTTATTGTTCTTTTGGTGTATTTGTGCATTTCATTATTGTGTTTTTTCTTAACACTATTTGTGTCTTTTGTTAACACTGTTGGTATATTTTGCCCAACGACCGCATTTGAACAAACTTTTATATATATATATATATACACACATACATTTAATGGTCTCAACAAGCTTTAGTTATGTAATTATTGCTTCCTGCGTCACCCAATTAGCAAATAATTAATTGGGTAGGTACTATATTATTAGGAAAAGTTAATAGTTTTAGCCCCTTACTTGTAACTTGTTACTTGTAAGTTGTAACTGATTATAGTATTAGTAGTATAGGTTTGATTTATACTCTGTAATTATTTATAGATTTGGTTTGTAAGTTTTTAGTGAAATGACAAGTTCAGTACTTAATGCATGTTAGCATTTTGTTAAATTACTACATTTACATGTTGAGACATTGAATTTACACCACATTTAGGAATGACATATTAATCGCCCTGATTTTCACTCATATCCCCACCCCCATGCCTTGGGTACTGATGCCATTTGCATTAGGTACAACTTGTTGCATCAAGTATTCTGAGAATAAGTGTTGATAAAATTTGGTATAGCCCAAATACCATGTTTGATTATATTTTGTATAAAAGGTACAAATATTGTGAAAATAAATATTGATAAAACTCGGTAACATATTCAAATATACTTGATACAAAAGGTACTATCTAGTAAAATTTCCTATAAAATTATACATCTTTAAAAATTTAAAACATCATTCAAAACAACTAAAGTGTTAAATGTATATATGGCAGGGAGGGTGTTCCTTGCTCCCCAAGTGTCCTTATCCCCTACCCCCATTCTCGCATCTGTGGCAGAAAATAGGTTAGTCATAATCACACACAAAACTTAGAAACTAAAAGTGTCATTTCTTTCCATTATTGTTATTTTGGTGCATAAAAATGATAAGAAAAATATCATTATTATTATTATTATTATTATTATTATTATTATTATTATTATTATTTGAAAACTTATTATTATTATTATTTTCAAATTTATATTATCCAATTACATGGTGGTGGGTGGCATCATTGTAGGCAATGAGTCATGAAACTTTTGAGCATCATGAGGCCGGTGAGAAAGTGTATTGGGATCTAGCCTAACAGTTACACTATGAGAGTTACAACTAATGAGTTGGGTAGGCACTGGTCCTCTCACTTAATGGGTCATTGATTTACTGTGATTTACTCCTTTACTATTTTGTCGGGTTGGGATATGGAGGTCGTGGGAGTGAAGAAATTTCACGTTTTGTGAGCAAAGTGTAGATATTGGGAGGCTTGGAGTTAGAAGATTTTATTTGAATGTTGAACCCACGTACCCTCATT